CTCAGGCTCCATCTCAGTCACCCTTAACTCCGGGACACCCAGCGCCGATGTGGATGGCGTCTACTCGTTGAAGATGCAGTTCTGGGCACTGCTGATCACCCATTTCTTGTACATTGCACTGTGGACGTTTGGGGCCGTGGCTGTGTCCCAGCGCTGGTATCTGAACGTCATCTTTAGCTGCCTCTACGGGGTAACGGCTGTGGCACTGGGGCTCTTCATCTTCATCCACCACTGTGCCCGGCGTCGAGATGTGCAGAACTCCTGGTTTGCCTGCTGCCCATCCTACAGGAATGCGCTGCCCATGCAAGCCTATGTCCACCCGGGCCTGGCGGCAGAGGAGGGCTCGCAGATCTTCATCGGGTGCAACCCCGAGGTGGCTCATTCCATCAAGTCCTCTTCCTCACCCAGCAGCACCAACTCCACCATGGGCCACTGCAAGCTCACCAACCTGCAGGTGGCTCAGAACCAGGCAGAGAGCTGCCCCCTACCACGGCCAGCTTGCTACGAAGAGACGGAGCCGGCCAACAACAAGAACGCTGGCGCGGCCAGGTATGCTAACAACATACATGGGCGCAGGAACCACAAGAGCAGAACTAAGCAGTACCGGGAGGGGAAGCACCACCGCTTGAAGGTGCTGCGGGGGCCTTCTTCGGATCACCCCTCCAGCGAGAGTGGAAGCCTCCACAACAGCCATTCTGAGAGCTACCACAGCAGCAGAAACAGCCCCCTGAACAACAGCCGCATAGGACCGAGGGTAGCAGCTGTGCAGGAGGGGGATGCTGCTCTGACCCAATCCGAAGGGAGCGACGGTGGTAGCAGCGGCCATCGGGTTCCTGACTTCAGCAGAGCTCAGAGGAGAAGCGCTAGCAGGGACAACCTCAAACAGGCCCACACCATCGAGAAAGAGACTAAGCGGAGATCCTACCCGCTCAACGTGGCCAACCAGAACGGGGGGCTGAAAGGCAGTAAGTACGATATAAACCTCACCGGCGCAGAGAGCATGGCCGGCATGAAGACTGGCCTCTGGAAGAGCGAAACAACCGTCTAGAGCGCTGAGTTGCCCAGGCAGCTAGAGCATCCCAGCATGTTTCTCCTCAGGCAAAGGAACAGCTCGCTTAGCCAGCGGCAGGGCGTGGGGAATGGCGCTGCTAACTGAAGGCATCTTCCATCCGAGTCTAAGTGTGTTATAAACATAGAAGTGCACTACAGGGGCCTGGGTGGTACTGTCCAGGATGTTTTAATTCCTCTATCAATCAGCAGGTAACGGTGGGTCTTGTTCCACCTGGGTGCTGGAATGGAGAGAGTCAGAGCACAGCACCTAGCTGAGCACATCGATAAGCCTCATCTAATTCTCAATGGACACAGGAGCACTAAGATCTTAAGGTGAAAGACAATCATTGCAATTCAGGCTGCGGAGGAGCAATCTTATTTTAATCACTTCTGCATGTCACGTGAGACTGATTCTAAATGCTATTTTATAAATCTACAGAAGAAAAATGTTTATTTTTCAAATCTATATTATTGTATGTATATATGTATAGACTGACTGGTAGCTGATGGAAGTGCCTCCATGTTATACAATCGGTGTTCTATGAGCAGCGAGTCTCCCCTTAGGAGTTTTGGCAAGAACTTACTTTTGCCATCCAGTGTCGGTTAGTAGACCGGAACTAGCTCCTTCGTGCAAAGACGCTGCAGTAGAGATGTGGCTGTTTCATCCTTACGAAAAACACATTTTCAGACAGAGAGACTTTAATGACAAGTATTTGAGCTGACTGTTCTTAAATGTATATTTAGCCCTATGGGTTACTGAGCTACCAAAGTAAAAGCCATAGTTAAAAATGAACAAGAGGTAAGATAAGAAAAAGCTCCAAGCAAAGTAAATTGTCTGCATCTGACAGACACTAAAATCGCTGCAGGAAAACTGCTCTCGAGCTGGGTTAAACACCCTCCGAAGCCCATGCTCTGCAAAAGGGTTGTTCGCTGCAGCAAAGAGGCTTCAGGGGCATTATTTTGTATGTATGTTACGCTCACTGTGAAAGTCTCGTGCCTTGTATGTCAGGTGTTGGGAGTACTGGCTACTCGGGAGGGAACCAAAGAGTTGGACAGTGGGCAGAGGTACAGATATCGATACTGGCCCATAAATCCCATTTAGCATGTTCAAAAATGTTTCATTTTGCTCTTGAAGCAAAACATTTACATGAATGTGAATAGATCATTCAGAGTCGACCGATCCAAGAGGAAAGAACATTTTACAGACTTGGGCTGGTTCTATTAAGTGAAAAGAATCTTGCTAAACTAGTAGGGCAACTGTTCAGGCCACACAGGGTCAGAGAAAAACTGATTTAGGTAAATGTATATATAACTCATCCTTCCTAATATGTTTTTAAAAGGGCTGGTACTTGGCTAAGCACTTGATTTTTTTTATTGGACAAACAAGTGCCCTTTTTCTAGTGAAAAATATAAAGCAGCTTCTTGCTATAAATACAAACAGGTCCCAGAGCCTGGTGTTGAAAAGGAGCCTTCGGTTAAAATGTTTATAGAAAAATGTCTCCTAAAAAAGGAAGTTGCCATTCAAAACAGTGCCCAGCAACAAGTTTCATGTTCCTGTTGTTAGCATGAGCTGAGAGTTGCTGCCAATTCCACCACCTATCACTAAAGAAACATAGTGAGAACTCATAAGAAGAAAACAGAGCATCTTTAGCTTGTGAGGCATTGAACTGGGGTACTCAAGCCACCAGTAATTTCATAACCTAACCAGTGGATGAAGAAAGAAACAGCCCTTACAATTCTTCTCTCCCTTCTGTCCTGCTGTTTGGCACTCATTCCCTACACAGAATTTGCGTTTGCCTTTCAAAAGGAGTTTTGACCGGAGGTCAGCTGAGAAGAGACCTGCGGTGTAGTTCAGAGAAGATAATTTTACCCTTGTTCCTATAGTCAGCAGGGAGACCCGGTGCCTTAATTGTTCTCCTGCTATTTTGGCTGCTTTTGTCCTACTTGAAATCAAAGGAGAATTAGAAGAGTGGGGCACATTGCCTTGGACACAGGACTACAAGCCAGGAACCTCCTGCACTCTAAGCCCAGCTCTGATATAGACTCCTCTTTGTGGCTGAAGCCAAGTCACAACCTCTGTGCCCCTGTAAAAATGGGTATCAACACTTAGCTACCTCCCAAGGGGTTAGTTATGGACTGAAGTGCTAGAAGGCATGCATGGAGCCAGCATTCAGCCACAAGCCAGTGCTCATGTTCACACCATTTCTAAGAGATTTGGGGTGGAAAGATGCAGGAGTTAACAGATTATACAGCACTTAAAAGATTTTTCTCTATTTCTTCCTCTCCATTCTGAACCCCCCCCACCCCCTCTATCGCTGAAAGACCGATGGGCTTACACTGCAGTGCTACTACCCCCCAGCCTTGTTAGACTTCCCCCTGTTTAAACGTGCTTTGTATTTAATACAAGTTGAATCAGATGCTGATACCCCAACCTACACACTCTTGCTGATGCCGAACGTGTTATATGCTTGCTGCACTGTGACAGTATTATATAAAAGCTTTGTATTACACTTATTTTGTCTGTTTACATTACAAGCAAATGACATATCAACAGAGCTTCTTGCAATATACATGGGGGAGGGAGCGGGAAAAAAGTGCCAAAGAAAATGTGTTTAAAGGGTTGGGGGGTTTTGCATTTTTTTTATATAAACCGAATGTTTCTAGCAGATATGTTTTGTTTTAATATATTAAAGATTTGCAAATCTACTGAGAAGTGATGTTGCTTGTTTTAGGCCCTTGGTCCCCAATACAATGACAGACCCTTCAGCACAGCAAGGTCATTTCTTTTATTGAATTTGGCTGTACTTAGATATCAACAAATGGTGCCATAATCGTACAAAGAAAGGATTCAAAATTCCAGCAGCTTCACATAACAAATTTAACAGCCAAGGTCAGAACTGTTTTCCTTACTAGGCAGAGGGCAACGCTAGCTTCCCAACAGTATTATTAGGGACGTCTCTGATATCCAATCCAACCCAATCCACTATCTGTCCCCGTGGTAGTGGCCCCAAGACTGATCTTGTAGCGTGATGCCCACACGTGGTCTAAAACACAGGGCGTTCATATTGCTCACCGAGGGAAACAGGCACTACATTTTGAAAAGAGCCTTAACAGCAAATGAAAGTGGCAGTTCTACTAGATCACAAACAATGCAGCTGAGCTCTAGTGAAACAACATAGCAGGGTCACACTTCATGGGAAGGAACTCAAATGAACCAAGTGCCAAACAGCAAGGTTGGAACACTGAGCTTTCACCAAGTGTTACTCCGTTTTAGACAGGAAAAAAGTACCCTCTTTCTCCTCCAGATCTCCAAAGGTAAATGCATAACCCTGATATTGTTCTATAATAATTAATAGAAGGCGTGTGTGCACTGAGCAGCCCTGAGAAATGAACTGGCTGACCTATTCAAGGGCCCTCCTCATCCAAATAATCCTACAATTTAGGGCAGGAAATGCAAAGCAATTAGTCCTAACCAAAACCACACAGATCATGTTTCTATTGACAGGCACAATAGAATTACTTACCCATGCTACTGCCGCTGCCTTCGATCAGTACACAGACAAGTTAGACTCGCTTGTAAGGGCTGCACCAGGACGATGCTGGAGAACATCTGGATTTCAACAAAATGACTAACTGTAAATTGGTAAGAGAACGTCCTGAAGGCATTTCTGGCAGCCGTGATGATTATTTCTAACAAACTAAACAGTTTCCCTAGGAAAGTCTCAGTTAGGAAGTCATTCTGGTATTTTAATTTTCTGCCCCAGCAGAACTAGGAGAGCATATTGTCATTTACTTACAATTCCCCCCCGCAGCATGGAACGCTTAAGAGGCCCCATTATCCTATTTCTCCAGTGGGAAGCGTGTCCGCTAGCAGTGCCACAGACAGCTGTGCTGGAGAATTCATACCTTTGCTTCAGGTGGCTAGTTCTTAGTGCCTTTGTCCGTGTCGCTCTTGGGAGCTCAATTCAGTGCCAGGCCTGGGCCTTGCTGAACTCCTGCATCTCCTCCTGGCTCCGCAGGTATTGCTCTATTTCGCTGTCTGAAATGGCCTCGTCTCCAGTGATAGCCTGGTCCGAAGGGCTCAGGGCTGCTGTTCGAAGTCTCTTCCTGGGGTTTATAAGGCACGGTGGCAGCAAAGGCCTCCGTACGCTGCTGCATTTCTGTTTGCCCCCAGGGTGGCAGCCCTCAGCTTGGGCCGAGCACCCTGCAGCTTGTGGTGAACTCACAGAGCCATCACCCGCTGCTGTGGCACTTTGATCCTCAGTGTCTCCTGAGCTAAAGGAGCTTCTCAGCAGGAAGTGTCGGTGCTGGAGCAGGTCCCCGATGTGTTTGACCACAGTCTTTTTGTCCACGTTGAGCACGCGCAGCCAGGCCAGCTGGGAGGCCATTCTCAAGAGGATGTCGTTGAGCTCCTTCAGCCTCAGGTGGGCCGGTGGAGGTAGGTCTGTACCTGCCAGCTTACAGAAGCGAGGGAAGGTGCACGTCAGGCGCCCCACGGGCTGCAGCGACTGCCACGCAAGGTAGGCCGCAGCAGTGACAATGGGAATGGGATGCCGGCCTGTCACCAGCCACGTCTCACTGGCCAGCTCCACAATCTGGATTGTTCGGGCAACCATCTTTTCCTTGTCCTCAGCAAATTTGGCAGGGACGCTGGCTGAACTCTGGAACAGCTTGAAACTGAGAGAACAAAGAGAGCCCATTAGCTATATTGCTGCATTGGGTATCAGAGGTAGAAGGAAGCCATTAGATCATTAAGTCCATCGTGCTGCAAGGCCAGGGGAGGCATCAGGTATTACTGGGGCCCTACCAAATTCATAGTCCATTGTGATCAATTTCATGGCCAAAGGGTTTTAAAATTGGTCAATTTCAGGTTTTCAGATGTTTACATCTGAAATTTCATGGTGTTGTAACTGGGGATCCTGACCCAAAAGGAGGTCATGGGGGGGTTGCAAAGCTGTTGAGGGGAGAGGGCTGCAGGATTGCCACCCTCATTTCTGCACTGCCTTCAACATAGCCGTGCAGCTTCCTGCAGCCGGGGGGGGGGGGGGGGGGGCGGGGGGGGTACCCAGAGGTGGGTCTGATCCCCCCCCAGCCCAGACAAACAGCTAGGAGCCCCCAGCTGGGGCACCCCCAGCCCTGCCTCTCCCACTCCCCTCCAATAGCTAGATTTCCTGGGGAAGGGCTGATTTCACAGTCTGTGATGTGTTTTTCAGGGCTGTGAATCTGGTAGGGCCCTAGGTATTACATGGCCACAGCACGGTCGGAGGCTTCCAATGTGCAACACACACATCAAAGTGCAGTCCTCTCTGCAAAGGGCCTCGGATGGCTCCCATACTCATCCTCAGTCTCCCCACCCAATTTGCTTGGTTTACATAGGTTATTATTGAAATGTACAGTGCCAACAGCTGGCTAGGCCTTCCAGGAGAAATGCAAGACCTCGGACAGGCTTTCCACGCGTTCGCTTTCTGCTGTAGGTGAGCAAGGACTACACCACCGGGCCTCAGAAACAGGGAGAGAGGGCAAGAAGAAAGAAATGAAATTCTAGCCAGTCCTATGAGTCTTGAGACAATGGGAGAGAAGCAACAAGTCTCATGGCTGTTTAGACTCCTCAGATTACAAGGCCAGAAGGGCTCTTTTCTAGTCTGACCTCTTGTTTAACAGGCCACAGGACTACCCTGAATTAGTTCAGTTTGTATTAGAGCAGATGCTTTAAAAATCATCCAACATGGATTTAAAATTTGGCAGTGATGGAGAATTGTTCCACTGGTTAATTACCCTCACTGTTAAAAATGTGCATCTAATTTCTAGTCTGAATTTGTCACTCACCTACAACATTTAGGGAGGCACTGAGATACCACAGTGATGGGCAGAGGGCAAAAATCAACCAATTTACAGTGTAGAAGGTATACAGTATGTGTGAGTGAAAGACACACAGAGAGAGAGGAGAGACCACAAAAAGCAGAGGGATTAAAGATTGACAGCACACTTTTTTAGAGATAGAAGAGAAAAGACTTTGGCTTTTCTAACTGCCAGCACTGCGAATTTCCCCTGCGCTCTGACACTCCAGATTGGGCTTTCTAGCTAGTACATCTCCAATATTAAAAAGTTCTCTAACTGGAATGTACTTTGAGAATTTTATTATGCCCAGTAGAACCCAGCCTGCTCACTAACAGCAGTACAAACAGAACAGAGCTACCATAATTAAACCAGATGAGCCGGTAACCAGCTACACGGGGAGCAGATCTGTTAAAAACAGAGGCGATATTTATACTTAGTCACTTTTCTTACAATAATGGCACTATAAGCCTTGTAGCCCATTCACCGAACACACCTAGGACTTAGGTGAGCACCGGCCCTTTCTACATATGGAAAAATGGAGACAGACAGGTAAAGTCTCTCCACACCAAGCTGATACACTGAGTCAACAGTGGAGTTGGGAATAAAACCAAGTCCAAGCACCTGGCATGTCCCCTGCTCTAGTCACAAGACAACACTGCCTCACAAGTGGCATTTTTATAGCACTTCATCAGCAAACAATACACAAGGATTGCTTCACTTGACACTGAAATGCAGTCTGGTAGAATAGGGCAGCTGTTTAAGAACACTTAACACACAGCATATCCAGGTGGAATTCTACAGTATAGGTTAGAGAAGCAGAATATAGTCTGCTTAAATGTAACCTCACTAGCAGTGGTACAAAAGGGGTTACAGATTTAGTGCCCAAAGAGGTTTATTATTATTTATTTATATTACCGTAGCCCCCAGGAGCACCAGTCATTGACCAGGACCCCCATCCTGACAGGCACTGTACAAAACAGAACAAACTGGCCTCCCCCGGCACTCTGGGATCAGAAAAGCTACCTAAGAGTTGGCTTCCCATGCCCGGGCTGCAATTAACAAGTGTCCTAGAGCCTCCCATCTCTCTCCCATCACCAAAGGAGTGGTTAGTCTGGGGCAATACAGGAGGCAGCTTTAGTTTGTATCCCAGTCAATACAAGAACACATGGATGCATTTACATGAGCACAACACTTAGAGGGGCTACACTCCAGTTTTGAAACACCATGACCACAAGTTTAAATCTCAGTAGGATCAAAACAGCTCTTCATTGTTCTGAATCAGATAAACTGAATGTGAGCCTTTGAGACAGGGCTCTAAAACAGAAGTCCCTTCTGCCATGTATGGACTTTAAAGATCCCAAGGGACAAAGCTTTGCCTTAATGTTCTTGGCCAAAGCTACCCCCATTCCATGGTAGTACAGCTTGCTGTGTTCATGGTTGTAGTCTTTCACCTCACAGGCGGCTGTGTTTTAGTTATGCCTATATCATTTGGAAGCCATTTGGATCCTCTATTGTGAATGGTGTCAGATGGTTACATTACCTGTTAAGGTGTGTTTTCACCAGATCCGTCAGGCTCAGGGCTGGCACATCCAGTTCAAGCTCTTTCAGGACGCACAGGTAGACGCTGGCAAACAACTCCTTGTCTGCGTAGAGCAGGGAGCAGATAGTACCCATGGTCAGGGGCCAGTTGTGCTGCCGGCAGGTCACAAAGACACAGCAGCCTACCAGAATCTCCTTCTTCTCCAAGCTGACTAAGTGGAAGGAGGGGTGTTCAATTGCTCGCTGGAAATAGGACAGGGCTGTCTCTTCAAACACAGCTGGGAGATAGAGGACTTTGCAGAGATCCTGGACACGCTTGATCCCTGTGGGAAAACCCCATGATGCTTTTAACATTTGCACAAAACGTTTCTTTAACCGCACCTCAGCGTGATACTGCAGTGCAGCAAACACTCAGCCAAAGCCAGGGGGAGCAACATGGCAGTGTGGCAACTTAAGCCTTGTCATCTGCCCACGGCAACTTTTGCCCATTTCTCTTCATGCAGCTGGGAAGGTTTTCCCGAAGGTTCCCCTGGGCTCAGAACTAGTCACTTGTGAAAAGTTAGCAGCTCCCTGTGGCTTTTAGAAAAATGAGGGGTATGAGGAACAGATTGTACAATCTGAATGGTAGTCTCTTCTCGGCCAGAGCATCACGCAGAGTCTTAGTGTTGCAAGAAAGGAATAATTAAAAAAAAAGCTCTCACCTCGTAGCTTACAGCGGCTCAGCTGCTCATTCTGGCCGGTACTCCGTGAATATGTCACTTCTGGAAAACAACAAGCATCAGGCAAAGCAGCCACTTTCAGGGGTGGAGTAGAGAGTGAGATCTATGATTGGTGCTACTGAAAACACCAGATTTCAGTTTCCAAGGCTGGTCATTCTCCTTATATCCACAGAACAGGTACCAGCAGCACAGACAACAACAGTGCAGGCTCTCTCAAGCATGCCTCATGCCATTTGCCTCAATCCTGAACTAAAAAGAGATACCCCCCTCACTCTCTAAGGTGAATGGTGTTCAGTTCTCATGGGCCATTCGATTCTTTGATTCTCTACAGATTGCCAGCAAAGGATGTAGTCTGTTAGAGCTATTATAATTACAGTGAATACATTTATGAAAGTGGTGTACCAAGAACTTCTGCGCTTTAGGTCTGGTACACCAGATCTTCAAGTTTGAGACCCTCTGCCATAACTGATGTGGGTCATTGATTCTTCAGCCTTGGGGAGAGGGAGAAAGGAGAGCTACTCATAGGTACATATCAGATCCAGTCAATCTATATGGCATAAACATTACCCTCCTCACAATCAAATCCGTTTTAAGTAGTCAACCATGAAATCTGCAAATAAAGTTTTATGAAGGAAAAAAAAAAAGTGAACAAGATTATACTGGAAGCCACTTGGGGATACTTTACCATAATTACTTAAAAGGATGTTTGCCAGGACATATTTGTTTTAAAATGTAGTTTTGTAAAAAAGTGAGCTTGTACAAAACCTTTCAGCCAAATATAAATGCTTCCAGGACATATTTAAAGAGCCCTGTTTTTAGAAGAATAATCTGCAGCCTGTGCAATACAAACATCACAGTATTCACTTCAGCATGAGAGCCAGAAAATGAAACTGATTAGTATATTTTCATCTGAAAACCAAGCAAACCAGCTTACTAGAAGTTAAAGATCGTTTTTTAAGAATTAATCTAAGGTTCTATTTGCACCACAGGCAAGAAAGTTTGTTTTCATATTTGTTTGTTTTTTAAAATGTGTGATTTTTAACCTGTCAGTGTCTCATAAGTAGGGCTCTACCAAATTCATGGTACATTTTGGTCAATTTCGCAGTCATGGGATTTTAAAAATCGTAAATTTCATGATTCCAGCTATTTAAATCTGAAATTTTTCACAGTGTTGTAGTTGTAGGGGTCCTGACCCAAAAAGAAGTTGCGGGGGGTGTTGCAGGGTTATTGTAGAGGGGGTTGTGGTACTGCTCCTTCAGTGCTGGGTAGCAGCAGGGCAGAAGTAAAGATGGCATGGTATGGTATTGCCACCCTTACTTCTGCGCTGCTGCTGGCGGGGCGCTGCCTTCAGAGCTGGCTGCCCAGCCAACAATCATAAGAACATAAGAATGGCCATACTGGGTCAGACCAATGGTCCGTCCAGCCCAGCATCCTGACTTCCGACAGTGGCCAATGCCAGGTGCCCCAGAGGGAGTGAACCTAACAGGCAACGATCGAGTGATCTCTCTCCTGCCGTCCATCTCCACCCTCTGACAAACAGAGGTTAGGGACACCATTCCTTACCCATCCTGGCTAATAGCCATTAATGGACTTAACCTCCATGAATTTATCTAGTTCTCTTTTAAACCCTGTTATAGTCCTAGCATTCACAACCTCCTCAGGCAAGGAGTTGCACAGGATGACTGTGCGCTGTGTGAAGAAGAACTTCCTTTTATTTGTTTTAAACCTACTGCCTATTAATTTCATTTGGTGGCCCCTAGTTCTTATATTATGGGAACAAGTAAATAACTTTTCCTTATTCACTTTCTCCACACCTCTCATGATTTTATATACCTCTATCATATTCCCCCTTAGTCTCCTCTTTTCCAAGCTGAAAAGTCCTAGCCTCTTAAATCTCTCCTCATATAGGACCCATTCCAAACCCCTAATCATTTGAGTTGCCCTTCTCTGAACCTTTTCTAATGCCAGTATATCTTTTTTGAGATGAGACCACATCTGTACGCAGTATTCGAGATGTGGGCATACCATGGATTTATAGAAGGGCAATAAGATATACTCCGTCTTATTCTCAATCCCCTTTTTAATGATTCCTAACATCCTGTTTGCTTTCTTGACCGCAGCTGCACACTGCGTGGACGTCTTCAGAGAACTATCCACAATGACTCCAAGATCTCTTTCCTGATTAGTTGTAGCTAAATTAGCCCCCATCATATTGTATGTGTAGTTGGGGTTATTTTGTCCAATGTGCATTACTTTACATTTATCCACATTAAATTTCATTTGCCATTTTGTTGCCCAATCACTTAGTTTTGTGAGATCTTTTTGAAGTTCTTCACAGTCTGCTTTGGTCTTAACTATCTTGAGCGGTTTAGTATCATCCGCAAACTTTGCCACTTCACTGTTTACCCCTTTCTCCAGATCATTTATGAATAAATTGAATAGGATTGGTCCTAGGACTGACCCTTGGGGAACACCACTAGTAACCCCTCTCCATTCCAGTCGCTGCTCTCCAGCCACCCACTTCTGAAGGCAGTGCAGAAGTGTGACAATACTGCAAACCCCTAAAATAAAACTTTGCGATCCCCCTGCAGCCTCCTTTTGGGTCAGGACCTCCAATTTGAGAAATGCTTGTCTCTCCTGTGAAATCTGTATAGCATAGGGCAGGGGTTGGCAACCTGCAGCATGCGAGCCGATTTTTACTGGCACGCTGCTGCCAGCTGAGGTCCCGGCTGCCGGCCCCGCTCACCCCGCTGCCTGCCTGGATGAACAGAATCCTAGGCCGGCAGCGGGCTGAGTGGGGCCGACGGCCGGGACCCCGGCTGGCAGGAGCCGGCGGCCGGAACCCCAGACCGTCAGTGGGCTGAGCGGCTCAGCATGCTGCCGGTCTGGGGTTCCACCCACCGGCCCCTGCCAGCCAGGGTCCCTGCCGCCAGCCCTGCTCAGCCCGCTGCCAGTCTGGGGTTCTGTCGGGGGGCCCCTGTAAATGTAAAATTTATTACTGGCACATGAAACCTTAAATTACTGAAGATTTGGCACGCCACTTCTCAAAGGTTGCCGACCCCAGTATAGGGTAAAAGCACACAAAAGACCAGATTTCACAAACCGTGACGTGATTTTCATGGCTTTGAAGTTGGTAGGGCCCCTACTTATAAGACTCAAGTGCAGGTTTCACTGCTGCTATATCATGATTATTTTCACTCAAAAAGTCATGAATTCCAAGATTCTCATGTTTTTAAAAAAAATCACTATTTTATATTTTGGCATTTTTACATGAAGAGGTAATTGAATGTTTCTGCAGACAGCCAAAGCAATCTCTGTATGTTGGAGAAATAAGTTAAAACCAGGACTACAGGAGCAAGATAAGTCTGCAGGAACTCTCATAGTTAGGACTAGTGGTTTGTAATACAGGTGGAAGAAGGGAGTCAAATTTATGCTCTCTCTGATTTGGGGGAAGAAACGTGGGTTACGAGACATCTGTCCAGGCCTGCTGTTCTTGGTGCCTTTGTAAAGTTTAAAACAGCAATTTATCTCCTACTCTTTTTTCTGCACAGTTTTTAGGGCAAAAAAGACTTTTGATTAAAATATTCTCCAAAATTCTGAGCAATGGGTGGTTTTTTTGTTTGAAATCTCTGCCTCCCTGTCCTCATGACTACGATGACGACTTTTCATGCCATGTACGCAAAGCCCTGTGGATTTTGACATATTTATGCAAACTAAAATCAGTGTTTGACCTTGTAAATGTTCTTCATCTTGGAAAGTGGTTGTCAAGAGCCCCTCGGTGAGGATAAACCCACAGTCAGCACACACCAGTTGGTTCTGAGCATAATGTGCATCCTCCACAATTTCGGAGGAGCCACAATCAGGGCATTTTCTCTGGCCCGACATCTCGAAAACCTGCAAGTCGAATTGAGACAGATTTAAAGATTTTATTAAGATGTTAAAAAAAAAAAAAGTGAACGGTACAGAGTTTAAGCATAGAAGTTTCTTGTTATCAGGGAATAACATACAGATTATCGAGGTAGACTCATAGACTTAAAGGTCAGAAGGGACCATTATGGTCATCTAGTCTGACCTCCCGCATGATGCAGGCCACAAAAGCTGACCCACCCACTTTCCCTTAACTCAGCTGTTGAAGTCTCCAGATCGTGATTTAAAGACTTCAAGTCGCAGAGAATCCTCCAGCTTGCGACCCCTGCCCAATGCTGCGGAGGAAGGCGAAAAACCTCCAGGGCCTCTGCCAATCTACCCTGGAGGAAAATTCCTTCCCGACCCCAAATATGGCGATCAGTAGAACCCCGAGCATACAGGCAAGATTCTCTAGCCAGACCCACATTTTACCAGCGATGGCACTTTATTACCTAATTGACTAAAATCACGTTATCCCATTAAACCATTCCCTCCATAAACTTAGGTAGCAGGGTTTGGTTTAAGATCAGGTGGCATAAGGAATACATAAACTGCAATATCCCCGATTGGGGTAAAAGGTTGATGGATCAAAGTACAGGCATTGAGATAGGAGGGTATGAAGTTCATAAAGTGGCTATGTTCGGATGTGGAGTATAATGAGTGGATATGATGATAAGGATGGATTGACCCTCATTTGGTGAGATTTAATGTTCAGGGAGTTTATGGTTCCAGTTCATATGATCCAACGGATAAAGTCTCTTGGTCCCTTTCTCGTGGTCGAAGAACGATGTAACTCTGGCTCACGCCTCCTGGTACTGTTGGTGGCCGGTGATGTGCTCGATGTAGATGTCCCTGGACCATCGGATGGTGTCGGAGACCATGAGGCGCCACATGAGCCGTGGGTAGCGTCGACCGATCCCGCAGGTCCGCAGCACACCCTTGTTGCAGGGGTCCCAGGCGCCATGGGCTCCGACGATCAGGGTGTCCATCTGCACATCGTAGCCCTTCGCTCTCAGGGTGTCGGCCAGGGGAGCGTACTTTTCCAGCTTACGAGCTCGGGCTTCGCGAAATGCCGGGGTCCTGTTCTCAAAGGAGACCGTGACGTTGATGAGGGTGATATTTTTCTAAACTCTCCCTTCATAGAAGCTCAGCCGTTGGAGCCAAGGCTGTAATGTGGCTTCAAGTTTCCCATATACACCATTTAAAAAACCAGCAGGCTTAAGCTGCATCAGCAGAACTAGGAAGCGAGGAGCAGCCAAACTCCCAACTCCGGCTGGCCTCACTCGCCTGAGTGATGGAAACGCCTGCCCAAGCCAGGGCTCTTGCGGTTGTAGCTCTGGTTTTGCAGGGAATTGGGAGAGGGCAGATCCCTGTTTCAATTGCTCTCCTCCCCCTTCCAAGATCACCCCCTGCAGCCTCCCAGGGGATCCCCAGAAACCTCCCGTTCAACACCCCCCGCCCGCCAGCTCTGGGCTCACACGTCCCTCCGCTCCGCCCCACCCCTGGGCTCAGCCTCTGCCCAGCCCCTTACCACGGTCTCCCCGGCCCGGATCTCCCCTACAGGCCCCCAAACACTCACCTCGCCCGCGGGCTCGGGGAGCAGCCGCCACCGCCTTCCCGCTCGCAAACGGAACTAGACGCCCGCGCACGGACCGGGGGGGGGGGGGGGGGGTGGATCGCGGCCCCCCCCCCCCGCTGGCCGCGGAGAAAACACGATCGCTCCGTCACATCCGGTCCGTTCGAACGGCTGCGTCCGAGCAGAGGCAGCACCCCCGTCACCGCGTTCCGCCCTTTTCCTGGGCTTCGCACGCAGTTAGGTGCGGAGGGGAAAGCTGAAGGGGAGGGGAAAGCTGAAGGGGAGGCACCTGTGCCATGGCGTTGCCGTGGTGCTGGCACCGGCAGCGCTCGGGACAAAGGGGCGAGCACGGAGCCGGCGGACACCATTGCAACCAGGGCACCTGTATATCTTCCACCCTCCACCCGTGACAGATCGCTGCACCCCCACGCTGGAGCTCACATGTCAATAGCCCCCAGCCGCCTTCTGCCCCCAAACATTGTAACGTAGTTAGTGCACCTCGCTCCTGAAATGACCGACACGAGCTTTTCCTTTGGGACCCACCAACCCCTGAATCTTCTGGCTCCTAGAACACAACCTCCTACAAATCAGTCAATAGACATCATGTAACTAACCCATTAATCCTTTAAAGGGTGGGGTGGGGTGGCTAAACTAGAGGAGAGGAATCTAAATGGGCTCATCAGTATTACTATATGGGACAGAAAAAGTAGATGGGACTGGGACTGTCTGCTCACTGGGGTGTGAACCAGCAGATGGCAACCTCGCTTTGCATTTACAGCTAACACACGTTAGGTAGCAATTGAACTCCTAGCCCTGGATCCATAATATTTTTAGCAGAAGAATAGTAAACATGGAACACAGGTAAAGAGAACCCAATAGCCATGACCAGACCCATGCTCTAAACCAGGGGTTCTCAAACTGGGGTCAGGACCACGTGGGGTCATAAGGTTATTACATGAGGGTCACAAGCTGTCAGCCTCCACCCCACACCCCACTTTGCCTCCAGCATTTATAATGATCCGCACTCAGAGGCTTGCTCTCTGAAAGGGGTCACCAATACAAAAGTTTGAGAACCACTGCTCTGAACTGTAGCCCACAACTCCTGACCTTGTGAACCAATTTCGAGCTAGCTTTAGGAACACTTAGTAAAGTGTTCTTTCTATAGTGGATCACACACTGCCTCCCAGTGAGGGATGAAAACCAACCATTATAAAGTTAAAAGTGTAATTAAAATGCCAACACACAGTCTGAGCAAAATGGGGGGGGGGGTAAGCAAAGGGGGATTTCCCTCTTTATGCATATGAAAAGCACCCAAGTACAAAAGGTGAATCAGTATCCAGGCAAGGGTTGCATGCAGCTGTGCATGCACTAGTGGTACAAGCACAAGAACACAATGTACATATACAGTCCATATGTCATCCAACACACGGTGCTTAGTCATCCAAGGACATGGATTAGAACGGGGTAGGCAACCTATGGCATGCGTGCCAAAGGCGGTACGTGAGCTGATTTTTAGTGACACTTACTCTGCCCAGGTCCTGACCACTAGTCCACGGGGCTCTGCATTTTAATTTAATTTTAAATGAAGCTTCTTAAACATTTTAAAAACCTTATTTACTTTACATACAATAGTTTAGTTATATATTATAGACTTATAGAAAGACCTTCTAAAAACGTTAAAATGTATTACTGGCATGCGAAACCTTAAATTAGAGTGAATAAATGAAGACTCGGTACACCACTTCTGAAAAGTTGCCAACTCCTGGATTAGAAGTTATTGAATTCCTGCATTCTAGTCCTGGCTAAATTGATTGTGTAGCCCTGGGCATGTGACTTCGACTCTGCCTCCATTTCTCCAGCCTCACAGCAAAATATGGATAACACTCATTTGCCCCACTGGATGGAAGAGAGGATTAATGGTTAATGGCTAAGCATTCGTTATCATTGTAACAGGGACCTGCTGCAAATAGCAAGATATGAACTATTCCATAGCCGCTGAAAGTCTGCCAGAGATTGAGAGTCAAATGTTAGTCTAAGGCAGTTGGTAGCACTTGCCTCTTTTTATTCAGAAGGCCCAGAAGATCCTATACTGGGACTCAATACATTTATTCAGGGCTGACTGAAGGGCACTATGAAATCGAATAGCCATTCTGGCCCCTACAAGAAAGATTGCAGAAAAACAAACTTAGTCCCAATCAACCTGGAGGAGAAGTAGTGATAACAGGCCGATATAGCACTGCAGATTTGGCAATTTTAAAGAGCCCCAAAGTGAATAGGAAATCAGTTAGACAGGCTTGACGTTTAATAATACAAAGAGGAGAAAAAGGTGATGCTTGGAAAAGGCCATTCTCAGTGATATGCCAAAATTATTGCAGTCTTGATATCAGCACACAGCTCAAATGTGTGCAAGTCATTTGGCATCTGACTCTTATGCACGAGACTAGACTGAGGCTATGTCCACACTGGCAATTGAATGACAAAACTTTTGTCTTTCGGAGGTGTCCTTCCCCCCGACCCCCGAAAGACAAAAGAAAGTTTTGCCGCAACAAGCGCCAGTGTGAACAGAGTGTTGTCGGCAGGCGCGCTCTCCTGCTGACAAACGCCACTCGTTGGGGTGGAAGTTTTTTCGGCAGGAGAGCCGACAAACAGCAGCTACACGACACGACTTTTAGCAGCACGGCTGTAGTGACAGCCATGTCACTAAAAGTTGCGTAGTGTATATATAGCCTGAACAACATGTCAATGAAGAAAGCCTTCCTAAAGACATTGCTAAACAAATAATGGCAGAAAATTTAACAAGCAAGGAAATCAACCAGCCACCACTCTGCTCCAGGAAAGCCAAACAATGTCAGAGGACTCTAATACAAACCAATTATGAGCAGATACAGCTAAGGGTAACCAGCCCTCATGTTTCAGAGAATAAGCCAGCCTGGTGCTTGCATGGAAGTGGAGCTTGGGAGAGGTGGAAAGTTGCTTACCAGGCCACAGCAGTTTCCATTAGCCAGGCTCATTGGCAGTAGAGGTTTTTGTGAGGCTTCAAGCATTGACCAGAAGATACCAAACTAGAGGAGCCAATGGTCTGACAGAGCATGACAATTCACATGAAACTAAAAACAGAAGCCCTGTTTCCCAGAATGAAGTCACTCAGCTATGATTTACCTTCTCCAGCGAAGGCCACGTGGAAACACCTGCAGCGAGAGAGTAGGCATCTGATTAGCTTTCTTCCAAGTCTCTACAATACCTCATTAGAGCTATGCACAAGGATGAAATGCTTGAAAGTACCAGGTAATTTCTATTCAATGCTGGCTTGTAAGTTTCCCCAGAGCATTATTGCTGATGGCCCTGGCAGAGGAGAGAACCATTCAGACTGAATGCAGAAGGACCTTAATAGCTAGTTTGATCCATCCCTTGAAGGAAACAATGCCTTAGAGTGGAGGCAGAGAGAAGCATCAAGGAGGCTATTATAGTGGCATGCAAGTTCTCCTGACAAGGCAAATACATTTTAGGCCAAAGTGGTCTGACAGAGAAAGGAAAATGGATTATTCTCCCACCTTGTCCTTGCTGCCCAGATATACTGAACAAAGAGTGAAGAGGATTTAAAAGTTAATGCAGTTAAAATGCTCCTGAAGGATTGACATCCTTACTAACCTGGTTCTAATGGACTGCTTTTGGCAATAACTTTCATACATTCTCTATCATGTAAATAAGCTCAGTCTTCACATGCTGCTGAACTTGATCAGACTTCCCACCCCACAGGGTGTTTACCATGGACTCAATGCAGCTAGAGACAGCTCCCATCCCTCTAGCAAATCCCAAAGTAGGAGAGGGATAGGCAGCAGCAATGTGTGTGTGACAAAGGGCATGTCTTCACTAGCAACGTGTGTGTAGTCGCGGCAAAAAAAAAATCAAAAAGCAAACAAAAAACACCTCCACGAGAGGAATAGCTCCCAGCACTGGTGCACTGTCTACACTGGAACTTGACAGCACTCAGGGGGGTGTTTTTTCACACCCCTGAGCAAGAAAGTTGCAGCGCTGTAAAGCGCCAGTGTAGACAAGCCCAAAGAGTGTCTCTTCTACTCACTTTCTGCCAATCGGAAAGTTGGATGTACTGGATCACTGAGCCACAACCCACTGCATTTTTTTTAAGTCCTCCCACCAGGGAGGAGCAGATATACAAATAATAAACAAAAGGAAGAGCATTATCAAGTTTCATTGTAGTGGGTGTCTAGCTAGCTCAGATAGTGGTAATTGCTACACTTGTAGTTTACTTGTCTATATCTAGCCCAGGTCGCTGTGGCCTAAAGCTGTTACTCTCAGCTTCTGTAAAATTAGCAATCTGTGCAATTCCCAATGAAGAGGTGTCCACATCAAAAAATCATAACTAGACCCTTAGTTGGCAGACTCAATCGATCACTGAAAATGCCTTGAAGACGTAACTCCCTTCTCAGCTCTAGAGAAAAGAATTGGGGCACAGTGCCAGGAGAACAGAGCACAGGAAGTTTGCCCTGCCGCTGGCTATACAGCACTTGTTCAGCACTGGATTTCAGTCTTGAGGAACGTCAGCCCAGCTCCTTTCACCAGTTTAAAAAAAAAAAAAAAAAATTAGAGTGTCACAGTTTTGAGAACTTACCATGGTACTGCTGCATGACCTGGAAAAGACAGACCCCTGGTGCACAAGTGAACATCAAGCATCCTCTGCTGACAACTATCAAATGCTGGTATTTTGTGGAGCAGAGAATCACTATATGAACTTGAGGAAAATATGAGCTGGCAGCCAAAGCTAGAGGGCCATAGGCCGACGAATCAGAATTGTCTTGAGATGCCACATTAAATCTTAAACACCTCTTTCTTTTTGTAGCACACAAACATTTGTCTAACTGTAAGCCAGTTTCACCTGCTTGTTTTATACTTTGACATTAAGTTATCTATATTCCCAGCTTCTCTCACTTCAGCCATTGAGCTTTAACTGCAGGAGACTCTGGCCCACTGTAATCAATCACATATGGCATAAAATGATTTCGCTGTGCAAACTTTAGGAACGGCTGAGAAAGCGAATGCAATTTTCTCTACAGTGATGGAAG